GTGTTTTAGTTCTTCGAAAAAAAAAAGCGTAAGGCTTCAAAAGCTGTGAGTGTTTAAACCAGAAACTGAAACTATTTCAGACTGTGGCAACCAGTGGTTTTAATTTACTAGTTTATGACTCTCCATCTCGGGGTTACTGTTAGGTGTCTTAGAGCAACACAATATGATTATCATTATTCCATATTAATTCATAATTTCATCCTAGTGTTGGTCACGTATTTCCTTTTGCTTCCTTTTAATTTTTGAAAGCTCCTGAACGGTAGAACGCTAATCACACATACCGTTCAGTCTAACGTCTGGACCGTCGAACCTTCCACCGTCGACACCGTCAACCGTCTTTTTACCGTCCATACCGTCCATCTTTTAAGGGTAAAGTTCGATAGATGTCTGGACTACATATGTATTATATAATTCTGAGATATGTCAGGTATATGAGAATCATCTTGATGGGTTTTTTTTCAAACTCCAATGGTCATGATCCGTATCACTATCTCTATCTCTTTTGAATTTCACTCTCAAAGTTCAAATCTTAATGAGTTACATTTTTATCACTTGTTATGACAAATTTGAGTACTAGTACTCCTTTTTTTATTTAAATAAAACGTAGAGAGGTGGTTGAAAACGAACTTTTTTTCCGTTAAGTGACGCGTGTAACTCAGTAACTGGCTTTAGCTTTTATAGACGGTAGGGACGGTAGATGGAACAAGTACCGTTCAACCTTGAACCGTCAACGGTCCCACCGTCGACGGTAAACCGTCCTGACCGTGGTGAACGGTTCGTGTGGTGAACGCTAACAAGGGCCAAGTCGACCTACTTCTAGTAGTGAATGATAAAGATGGTGATGGCGGCTAGGAAAGGGTAATAGCGAGCGGCGAGCAGCAGCAGCGGCGCAGCACCAGTCGGTTACAGCCCTTACCCGAAGCCCTCATTCTCTCACTTCTCGTGCGACAAACCTCTCGGAACCTCCACGTCAAACTTAGTTTCCTCCTCTGTTTCACTGTTCGCTATTCGTGTTCTTGCTTCTCAGTCACCTTAAGCTTTCTCATCTCAGTGTCTTCATACGTATGCCTATGCTGTCTAGATAAGCGGCTCACACCGCGTCATCAACTCGTCCTCCTCCATGAATATTATGACACATTGAATTGTAAGTATGGGGATGAGCAGAACAGCGGTTAGTCTGCCCTTGAATGTCAGGCTTCAGAACTAATATGAGAATTGTCGATCAGTCTAATAAGAGGATTTGGCTCATTCATGTAGCCGTGTTAGACACAGTGAGATAGATGTACGTAATTTATGTATTATTAGGTTTTAAAGGTTCCAGGTCTGTTTAGAACTACAGCCTCCCATGTGTCTCATGAATCAGGGAAGAAATTTGGGATCACTTTTTAGAGGTTAGGGGTTTCTCAGGTCCCCTAATTAGTTTAGAGTGAGGATTGTGAGGGGTTTTGGCAGGATCCGCGCAAAGGTACAGGGTGTATGGAAAGGGGCTGTATGGGAAAGAAGAGAAGGAAGAAGTGTAAGAAAGAGAGGAATCGATATCATTGTTGGAGAAAAGAGTATAGGGAGCTAAGGGAAAGAAGGCTGAGGGAGAGGTGGTTGAGGGAGCAAGAGAGGGTTGGGCAGGTGCCAAGCAGCGGAAATTGGTGAGAGCGAGAGTGATAGGATTTATAGGTAAAGAGCTCACACCTCTCTCTCTCCTCTCAATAATGCTCGTTCCTCCTTTCTTCACCTCCACACTACTTCCTTAGCTCCTTTACGCAACCACCTTGGAGTTACGAGCTCCACCCCCCATCCTCCCTCCTTCCCTATCCATATCTGGCTTCCGCAACCCAGTAACTACCGAGTAGTGACGGATGGGGCCTCCGCGATTAGTATGAGGGTCCGAATCTGCGTTTGTGGAGGTTTTTGTTAAGAAGTAGGCTATGCTTTTTGTGAGGAAGCCAGAATCTAGGTATATTCTCGCGCACCATGCGGCTTCCTGTGTCCTTCTCCTACCACTTCTAAGCTCCCCTCTCCATACAATGGCAATCACAAGCTCAAACCCTGAAGTGAAGTGGTGGGAGTACTTGTAGTAACTGTAGTTGGGACTGTGTTTTGTGAAAGGATCCGAGCTGATTTAGGGGCCGTCGCACCCGCTCAAGCTGAGCCTCTGGACATTCCAGCAAAGCCCTGCAGTAGTAGCAGGCCACCTAGTTCTTGGCAAGGTGCTGACACGCTCATATTCTGAGCTTGTTTGAGCCTCCAACGGTTGCCTGAGGTGGTTAGGAAGAAGAAGAGCCCAGCAGCAGGAGGAAAGGGAGACAGAAGGGAAGGAGAAGGAGGAGAAAGGACTGATGCAAGAGGGGCTTTGGCGATAGGAGGTGTTTTCCCGAGGCCAGACTATATTTGTAGGTTGAAGAAGGATATTACGTTATGGGTTCGAACCATGTCCTAAGATCCGTCGCTGTCATTCTCGGGGCCCATAGCTCTCTCGCAGGTATCCTCCAAACCCCGCCAATCTCCCTGTCTCCTCTGCCCTGCTTCCTCCCGCCAATCAAAATCCCCTGGACCCCACCTACAACAGCCCTTTCCCTTCTTCAAACCCAAACCTAAACCCATCTCCATCCCCTTCTCCTTCCCTGTACCTCTACTATGCCTCGTACCCGGATTGAACGAGTGACCTTTCCATTACAAGTGGAACGCGCTACCACTACGCCAACGAGGCATATCAGCTACTCCAAAAATGTAATCTGTCAGTGCTTTTTCCACTGGTTCCCCCCTCCAGATATCGGACACACGCGTTTGCTTTTCTCAGTCTGTCACTTGGTAAATGTCAGTCCCCACCATCGACGACCTTCGAGTCAAACTATGCTACATCTGTCGTGAAGAAGAACAAGTTCCTTCCTCTCCCTCTTCTCAAGCCGACCCCGAAAACTCCCAACCCAAACCCCAGGTCTGGACGCACCCTTGTAAATGCACTCTCGTCGCACACGAGTCCTGTCTCCTCTCCTGGATCCAGACTGCCGAGTCCAGCCGAGACGGCCTCCTCACGTCCAGCTCCTCCCAAAATGCTCTACGTTGCCCTCAATGTAAAACCCCATACGAACTGGAATCAGATTTGGATAGATACCTATGGGGAAGAGCGTTGAAAGCCTTCGTGGAACTGATGAGGAAAGGGAATAAGTTGATGACGACCACAGGATCAGCGGTATTACTCGCTGTAGTCCCTGCTGCGACGCTTGGTGGAGTCGGGCTAGGCACTGGGGTGTTGTTGACGAGATATGGGGTTTGGGCTGTGAAGCAGTTTTTTGGTGAACAGTACGTGTTTTCCATACGTGTATGCTAAGTACTAAGTTCACATAACTAACACCTTCCTCTAGACTCTACAACACCGTTCTCCCTCCAAACACTCCCTGGCCATGGACAGCCTACATTAACCTCCCTCTCATCCCCATCGCTCTCGTCCTAACCCAATTCCTTCCCCAATCCTCTTCCTCCTCTTCACATTCACTAATATCACCATTAAACACCTCCAACAATTTCCTCTACCCACTCATTTCTCTCCTCCTCGAATGGCCCAACTTCCAACATCCTCGATTCCTCTTCCAATCTCTCTCTTCCCATAACGATGCAGATCACCTCCATCACCCAGACCAATCCTCGATATCCCTCAATTCCTCAACCTCTTCCTCCTCCTCCTCGTCCCCTTTCAGTTTCTTGACACACGGTCCTCGTACACCCTCCCTCTGGCCTCCTTCTCCCTTCACCGTCGGCTTCATCCTTATCCCTCTCACGAGATACGTCTACCTCCGTTTAAGGAGACGCGTGTTAAGATGGGTCTTGGGTCCGGACCCAACGAGGTTTTTGTTAGGGTATTATTACGAGAACATGAGGGAACGGGGTCGTGGTGGAGGAAGAGGAGGAGGTGGACGAAGAAGAAGAGGTGATGGAGGTGGTGACGGTAACGGTAACGGTGATGGGAGGCGAAATAGAAATAGGGACGAACAAAGAGCTGGAGATGGGAACGCGGATGTGGTTGCGGATGCGGAGAGGGAAAGACGGAGAGAGATGCTTATGGCTAGGTTGGGTGAGAGACAGAGAGAGAGGTTGAGGGAAATGTTTAGGGAAAGAGAAGAGGAAAGAGATGGAGAAGTAGAAGGAGATGAAGAAAGAGATGGTCAGAGAGGACAAGGACAAAGACAACAGAGAATAGGACAAGCTCAGGGTGAGGTACAGATGCAGGTGCAGGGGGATAATGGAGCGGAGGTGGTGAATCTAGCGTTTAGGATTGTTTTGGGAGCTGGCGTTGGAGAAGAGGAAGAGGAAGAGGAGGATGAGGATGAGGAAGAAGAAGACGAAGGCGAGGGCGAAGGTCAACGCGAAGGAGAAGAATTGGAAAGAAGACAAGAAGACGTTGGGCTAGCTGAAGCTGAAGCCCGAGCTGGAGAAGAGGAACAGGCTCGGGAACAAGAAGGTCCAGAACCTGAACTAGAAAATGTGGAACAAAACGAACAGGCTGCTGATGCTCCTGTTATAGATGATGAAGATAGGAATGGCAACGAGAACGAGATAGTAGGAGAAGCGGCACCTGTACCTGTACTTGCTCCTGCTGCCCCTGCCCCTGCTGTTGCAGTTCCTCCTGCGAACCCCGTCCAACCCAACCCCGCACCCAATGCCAACCTCGCTGACGAAGCGAACGAAGGCATCTCTCTCACTCTCCACGCAGCGACGATTGGTCGACGCGTCGGAGGCGCTTTACTCGTCCCGCTGATCGCTAGAATGATGGGCGACGCATTGCTTTGGGCTACCAGGCCAGGGGCTATTGGATCATTATCTAGGGACAAAACCGGAGGATTAGGCAGGATGGTCGACGGAATCGAAGGGATCAAGAGTGTATTAAGGAGGTTCTTGGGTGTGCATGATATCCCGGAACGAAGGAATGGAACGTGGACGACGACGAGTCCTCTTTGGTCTTCGTGGAAACGAGGGTCAACGACGAACGTAGGTCTTGGAACCGGAGGAGGAGGTATAGGTAACGAGAGAAACATTACCTGGAGACTAGTGTTGGAAGCCCTGTGGGGAGGTGGGAGAGCGTGGTCGGAGCATACGAACACGGATCCGGTCTGGTGGAGGAATGTAGTCGGGTTTGGGATTTGGGTTCTGGTGAGTTTCTTTTTTTCGCTTTTTTCTTTCTTTATTTCTTTCTGCGGCTTTTCTCTCTCTTTCGTCGGATATTTTGTTCGAGTCACTGAACGCTCGCTTTGACTCTTTTCAAACAAACAACAAACACAGTTGAAAGACGCCCTATCACTCTTCAACCTTTACCTTTTACGCAAAGAGTTTGAGAACAGGAGAGTGAAGAACAGGTCGTTTGAGGAGGTGCAGTTTGAGGAGGGGGAGTTGATCAATTGATTTCGTTGAATTGATGGGTGAGGGGAAAGAAGAGAAGAGGAAATCAAATAATGCATGACAAGTGAAGTGGTGGTGACGAAGCACTGAGGAGAGTAGAAGTGTCAGCCTCCAAGTGAAGAGTACAAGTACGTACCTGGAAACGCATCGATGGTGTTCAACGTTTACCAGTTATATAACGTTAACGTTTGTGATGGTTCAAAGTCCTAGGACTAGTAATATTCACGTATTCATAGTACGTATGCATGCAACTAGAAATGTTGTCTTAATCTACTATCCCCGTCTCTGCTCTGCTTTTGTTTCGATCGTCTACATAAGTAACTAGTTTAGCGTCGCATGCCTCTTGCTCATTTTATATCACAGAAAGTTCTGTATATCTATTCAGTTTGATTTTTTTAATTTCCTGGTGCTTCTTCTGTCCCAGAAACTCGGTCAAATAGATCACCTGCTGAGATATCACCAATAGGTTTGGCGCCGACATCTCATCCATACCACCCCGAAATTCCTATCGTGCTTGGTTGGATGCGTCATTTGGGTGTCAAACCGAAACCTCATACCTCGCAGCGTCTTTGGTATTCTGGGGCGAGGTAACTGTTCCAACCGAAACGTTAGATGCAGCCCTTACCGCACCTTTAACGGCATACAGGATGGAGATAGGGAACACGAGAAATTGGTTAGATGGATTGCAGACTGGATCAATGAACTCAAGGAGAACGAAGACGCTGACGTGCGGATGCCTACTCCATGTGATTTGGGCAAGTGGAGAACTATTACCAGGAAGATACGAGAGGATAGGAGACCTGACTGGCTGGAGGACTTGACTGCAGAAGGTGTTAGATGACGATGCTAGGGAAGTCGGCGAAGCGATATAGAAAGGTAGTTAAAAACTTATAATACAATACGAGAAAAATATTTACTACATACATACAAGATACCTTCTAGCTACTCCAAGTACCTGTATATACCTCATGCAAAGCTTTTGCCAATGTTGAGGACTCGGAGGAGGACCAAGTGCGCCTTACCAGGGCGGCGACGCGTGTGAAAAGGTCACGTGTCTGCAGATTTGGTGGGACTGAATAGCAACATCCAAGTTGACGATGTCTTCTTTTCCTGAAAGTGTCAGGAAAAGTCTGCTTTCGGAATTCCGAGGCCTTTGTGCTCTTTGCAGCGAGGAGACAACCGAACCTGGTGGACATGCAGCTCACATTCTAGACAATTCCAGAGCGGGCGACATACAGGTAAATTGTCATTTTGCCAATAGCCTGCATGTCACTGAGTACCCGATATAGGTCAATCAAGGAATCGAACTTGGCTTATTGCAGCCGCCATTCTCCAGGAAGGACATTCGAAACGGATTATGGCGTATGAAGGTCAAATAATCATCACGATGTTCACTAACTGTGGTTGCCAGTTTGCCCCTATTGCCACCTTTACCCTATCTACACTTCCGTCCAGAGGATACTGTATACCAATACCCGCCAGCTTTCTTCCCGGCACTCCCTGTCCTCAATTATCTTCTCAAGTATTATGATAAGCAAACCGGAAACTCGGATGACTGTCGACCAGGTAGGTATATGCTTTTCATCCATACATTGTTTATCAATCCGTGAATATTGCCTAGGTGCTGGAAGATCTTCATGAGAACCCTAGTCATGATCCAGAAGCAGCAGCGTTTATCGGTTTGTTCCGTCTTCTCCCAACGGACGCTCCTGGCCAAAGTCACACACTCAGTCAAGCATATGCAAAAGCAACATCTAGATTTCCTCCTCCAACAATACTCAATACTGCCTGGCAGTGGGTTGATGTTAGCGAGCCCGCTTCCCCAAAACACTCAAGTCTACCGTATCTACGATGCCACGAAGGTAGACACCTCATCCGTGTTGGTGGGCAGGCCTCAGTCCCCCTATATGACCAACAAAGTCAAGTTTATACAGGGGCATGTTGTGGAGACTCCATCGATCCATCTGGTCTCCTTCTTACCGTTTTTGGCCACTCATTTTCAAATGGGTTACTACTTTACAATGGCTCCCGATGGCTATCAACCCCCTGAAGAATGTCTAAAAACTTACAGCCTACTATGGTATCTTAGTGCAACCTGCACGTGCGAGTCTGTCTCAAGGAAACGAATTACCCAGTGTTCCAGAAGGCACAATTACCCAGTGTCCCAGAAGGCCATCAAGTTCCGAAGTTGATCTTCTGACTGCCGCTCATCCTATACAGTGATGAGCTTCCGATGAAGCCAGATGAATTTGGAAAAGAAGGAAGACTCGTCGTCCTCGCAAGTTAGACATGTCAAAGGTCAAAGCATACGTAGAG